ATATTGTTAGGAAATGGTTTTCCTCTACTATAGGTGAAAGATATGCTTATTGGAGAGTTTAAGGGTCTTGCCTATTTGCATATAAACTGAACACCAGAAAATGCTTTGCTTCTTTAATCATGAAAAAATATTTTTTATGTTTAATCCTCCAAAATTCTGAGCAAAAGCTCTTTTGTATAACACATATTACATAGCTCTTTTGTATAATAAAATGTATAACAAATGGCCAGATTTTTGGCTACTTGGTACTTGAATTTAGCTACTCTGTGTAAAATTGTAACCAAATTGAGAATAATGGTGAGGCCACACAAACATGAAAGTTTTACGTAAAGTAAGAAAATTTTAAAATAAATGCAACAATTTAAACCATTAATCAAGCTAGAAAAAGAAAATTAAAATACTTAAAATATTCTAAAAGTTTTATATGTGGATTAATTGTATGTTAATTATTTGTATATATTGCTTATATATTATTGTATCCATGATTTGCATACTTCTATGTATGCATTAGTATAAAAATATATAAAATAATTTCATGGTTTTATTTATGTTTTAAATTGCTGCTATTCATTTTGAAATTTTCTCTCCTTATCTTCGTGGCCTGTGATTTGTAATTAATCAAATCACAATTGATTGAACAAACAATTCCTCTTTTGTGCGTCAATTCAAACAGCTGAGTATCTTTCTTATTGATATGAATTTCTATTTTGAACAATGCTCGTGGAAGTGCTTACTATCGATTTAGGCGCAAAAAAATTTAATTTTAAATTTTTAAAAATTTGCAATGGTGTTTCTTCTTATAGTTTTAAGAACTTTTTATAAAATGAATGATCTTTTTTATTGCAGGTGACCATAAATGCAAAGAACTGGAATGATTCATGTTCAAATGCTCTGAATTCTCCTACTTAAGAGTGCAACACTTTTCTTTTCAATAGTAAGTTTTTCTTTATAATTTAAGCATGTGTAACAGAGGTCTTTAGTTTCCAAATCAACATTATTTTTTTTTTATTCATACATTCATTCCCTAATGCAGAAATTGTTCATATGCACGACATATGCGCAGATCAATGTTTATGTTGAAACCAACAGTTTATGTTGAAGTCGCGATGATAATTTTATATGCTGTTAATTATTTTTTTTCATTATTTTTTTTCATTTTTTTTCATTATTTTTTTTCATTGTTATATAAAATGATATTTAACTAGGTAAGTTAATTTGTTTTTGCAATTAAATGTTCGCAAAATAGAGCAACATTCTGCAGCAGAACTTATGATTAATAAGTTTAATTGCAGAACATTGGATATAATTATGCTGCTGGACATTCATTAAATTAGTGCATGTTTAGATGTAAAAAAAAAGGAAAGAAACACTTAAAAATACAAATAAATAAATAAAAAATTTCTACGCAAACTCTATACATAACTCAGATTGTAGTTTCATAACTGCGCTACAGAATCTCTCTATTTTACCAATGCAATCTCTCTAATTTGTTTGCCAATCTCTCTTGCAGAATCTCTCTATTTCATCAATGAAATCCTTCTAGTTTGTGTGTCCAATCTCTCTTGTAGAATCTCTCTATTTCATCAATGCAAGCTTTCTGGTTTGTTTGTCCAATCTCTTTATATCATAAATGCAAGCTTTCTCTTTATCTGTCTAATATAACTAAAAAGAATCTTTCTATTTCATCTATGCAAGTTTTCTAGTTTGATTGTCCGGTCTCTCTATTTCATCAATGCAATCTTTTTAGTTCGTCTGCCCAATCTCTTTTGCGGAATCTTTCTACTTCATCAATGTAAGCTTTCTAGTTTGTTTGTACTATCTCTCTTGCAGAATCTCTCTATTTCATCAATGTATTCTAGTTTGTCTGCCTAATCTCTCTAGCAGAATCTCTCTATTTCATCAATGAAATCTTTCTAGTTTGTGTGTCCAATCTCTCTTGTAGAATCTCTCTATTTCATCAATGCAAGCTTTCTGGTTTGTTTATCCAATCTCTTTATATCATCAATGCAAGTTTTCTAGTTTGATTGTCCAGTCTCTCTATTTCATCAATGCAATCTTTTTAGTTCGTCTGCCCAATCTCTTTTGCGGAATCTTTCTACTTCATCAATGTAATCTTTCTAGTTTGTTTGTACTATCTCTCTTGCAGAATCTCTCTATTTCATCAATGCAAGCTTTCTGGTTTGTTTGTCCAATCTCTTTATATCATCAATGTAAGCTTTCTGTTTACCTGTCCAATATAACTTAAAAGAATCTTTCTATTTCATCAATGCAAGTTTTCTAGTTTGATTGTCCAGTCGCTCTATTTCATCAATGCAATCTTTTTAGTTCGTCTGCCTAATCTCTTTTGCGAAATCTTTCTACTTCATCAATGTAAGCTTTCTAGTTTGTTTGTTCTATCTCTCTTGCAGAATCTCACTATTTCATCAATGCAATATTTTAGTTTGTCTGCCCAATTTTTCTCTTGCAGAATCTCCCTATTTCATCGATGCAAGCTTTCTAGTTTGTTTGTCTAATCTGTCATATAAGATCTCCCTATTTCATCAATGTAATTCCGGCGGTTTTTATTTCTTTTAAAATCTACATAGCATTTTATCCACATCATACAAGAATTTCGTCGTAATTTTATCAGCGCCATTTTATTTCAGCCACAAAACTTTTCATTAATGCAGTTATTTTTATCTTAGAGTAATTTTATCAGCGTTTTTTATATTTTCTGAGAACATTCAAAATTTTATCTGTTGTAATTGGCAAAATCAACAGGGTAATTTATTTTTGCTAACTGACTCTCAGATACTGGTTGCACGTACCTCACACTGATTTAAGCTACAATACTGAGACTTGTCTAGGGTACAACAAGGATACATTTTTTATTTTCAATTTTGTTAGACCTAATTAAAAAATTGGTATTTTATCTCGCAGAGAATAACATTCTGGTACTGAAATATACAATAGTTCTGTTACCAATTGATATAGGATTATATTTTCCAATGAAAGAGATTGAAAATTGATAATGAAATTTTTAAAACAATTACTTGACATGTTTGGAAAGGGTCGCCTGCACAAAAGATAGTATTTGTTGTTCCAGGTATTAACTATAGATATGTATTAACTATAGACTTCTATCTTTGGATGGCACAAACATCAAAATTGACCCTTGGTATCTGGGGTCCGAGTTAAAACACTCTCCCTTTCGACTTATTACTTTGGTCATTTTCAGAAAAGTGAAAATTTTATAAGAACGGTTTTCTATCCACTGTACCTGATATTTTGTATTTGCTGTACGTGTTCTACTGTGCTTTTCTCGTTTACCACACTGTAGTGATGTTTGTTTAGATATAAATAGGTGAGCCTACTTTTTTAAAGGCACCTTCTTTAGGGGTCAGGGAACTGGCCTTGCATCAAGAAAGGTTCTGGGTTCGAATCCCGGGCAAGGCATAGATGCTCTTTCCTTCTCTGTACTATCTGTCCTTACTGTGGGAGCAACTTTGGCCTACCTAATAGGGTGTCCATGAAAGAGTGGCCAGTAAATTTGCCCTTTAGATGTCTGTATGACGAAAGTTCATTCTCTAGGTGGGCATTGGAAGGAGAAAAAAACTTCTTTAAAGGCTTTTAATTGATTAAAAGTAATAAGTGTTTTTTTTTCTAGGAACATTCCAAAACATCTCCCCTAGCACTCCTAAAAACCTGAAGCCGTTTCCTGCTTCTGATTTAGGTGCCCACTTTTTCCTTTTCGGTTTGCTTTCCACCCGTAATGACCCCCATAAATATTTTTTCCACTTCCGCAAAACCTTCTCAAAAAGGAACAAAAAAAAGCGAACTCTTTATTTGGTGTTCGTTGTCGAGGGGGCTTGATTAGAAAAGGCTGTCTAAACTTTTTCTTTCTTTTTCTCATTGTATCGAGTTTTTGTTAAAATGGAGAAGCGTTACTCTTGCTCAAAACTTTTTTTTTTTTTTTCAGAATAGCTTCGATGTTATCTTTTTCTCTGTTGTAACCGCTTCTGCTTTATACCGAATTATTGATTTTTGTTATTTTTCTTCGTAGGATTTAAAGGGTTTTGTGCTGTTAAGTTGAAAATGAGTTTGTGAGATATAAGAAAGAAAGTGAAAGCTCTTTCTTTTTCTTTTTTTTTCTTTTATCAGGAAATCAAAGTTCCATAATACGCTTTTAATGCGGAAATTAAATTATTAAATTCAATCAGTCTGAAAACTCCATTGAGTATCTTCGAATGGATTTATTTTTATTTTGAATTTAAAACCGAATTAAGCATTGGATATCATTTAATAGCAATATAGGATCGATATCTTTTTAAAAATGTATGGTTTTTCAATTCCTACTATTAGTTTTCACACTCTCAATATATATATATATATATATATATATATATATANTTGTTTTTCTAAAAAATACTATCTAAGCTTAATAAGAATTGTGTAAAGTATTTTTTCAATTCCTACTATTAGTTCACACTCTCCCTATATCTTGTTAACATTTTCAATCGTTCATAAAATACCTTTTATCCATCCACTCAACTTCAAATACTTGTAGTGGATAATTGTAGTGGATGTCACTTGATGTTAATACAGTTTTATTCAGATATTAATTCATTCATTAAATTTAATTCATTAATTTTAGTTTTTTAGGGGAGAAAAAAATATCTCTTACCTAAAATATTTAACAGGATATAGAAAGGAAAATTGCAAGGAAATTCGCTTTCTATTTTGCCATTTAATATTGTGATTCTACATATATATATATTAATTGTAATTATTGAATAAAAAGTAACTAAAATAAAACTTTTCTTTGTTGACCTTAGTAGGAATTGACTTAAAAAATAAATAAAAAACTATATCTTGTTTATGTATTTAATCATTGTAATTCTATAGTAGGGAACTATATTTGACTATATTTTTGAGGAGTGGACCACAAAATACAGAGACAGGGGCTGTTGTAATTATAAATATGCGAGAAAATACTTGGAATCTGTAATGTGAATAAGTTACAAATCTATAATTAATCTTTTGCTCCTGTGCAGATAATAAAAAATAATTATTACGTATAAATTTAACCAATATTACTTACTAGATTATAAAAGCAAATTATGGTACATTTGTGTAAGTACAAAAAAAGATAATTAAATTTCGATTCATCCTAAGAGTTACTACTAAAAACTTTCACTTTTATTCATAGAACAACATTTGTTACTAAAAGAGTGTCAAATGAATGTGATGACTGCTGCTAGAATTTTGAAATTATTATTTATTTATTTTTTAATTCATCTAATCTACTTGTGTAATTTACTTTTTTTTCTCTTTTAGTTTATTTACTATTATTTACTCTTTTAGTTTATTGCTTTCACTGCAACCTCTGAACCCATTGCATAAATAGAACTTTCATAATGAAACTGAAATTATCACATTCCGATACTTTGAGAAAGGCAGTAAACCAGATCAATAACTTTCTGTTAATTTTTTTTTTAATTTTTATTAATGTTATTAATATTTTTGACAGTTCAGGGGACAAGTTAAAAGTCTTTGAGGTCCACTTTTGCCCCCATTGATTGTGCATCCTTGTGTCAAGAGCATGTACGTTAAAAGTTCCGAAGGGAGAGAGGCGTCCCGGTTCGAACCGCAGGAATGACTGTTCGATACGAATTCCGCATCCGACACGCACCCACAATGCTGACGCGAAATATCCTCAGTGGTAATCGGATCATGAGTTAGAGTGCCCTTGTCGTCAACCGTGTGAGGTTTTCCTCTTATGTAACGCAAATGCGATTAAGTTTCATCAAAAAACCTTCCACAAAGGCAAATTTCTACCAATACTTGATCCAGGAGTTCCTTTTTCTTCTGGATTGCGTTCAAAATGGCAAGACTATGGAGATGAACATTGGTAGTCGTAAACTCGAAATTGGATTAATTCTTCAACAACGGTTA